TTTTTTTTTTTTTTTTTTTTTTTTTGTTTGTTTTTTGTTTTTTGTCTTTTTGAGGCAGAGTTTCACTATACAGTTCAGGTTGACCTTAAACTCATTTTATAGCTCAGGCTATCCTCAAACTCGAGGTGATCCTCCTGCCTCAGCCTCCTAAGTGCTGGCATTATAAGCATGCACTACCATGTCTGACTAAAGTTAAACTCAGATTACTTGGGTATATCTCAGTGCATTCTTAATATACACGTGTCCACAGGTTCAATCAGCACCAAAAAGGTTGAATAATTAAATAAAAACTCAAATTTGATCCCTACGTACCACTGTCTGGTTGTAGGATTGTAGTAGTGTCCAAAAATTTGCACTTTGAGCAGGCTTCTCAGGGATTGTGAAGAAACAAGTCAACAAGTGGAGTTCAGAAATAACATTGGTCAGCCCTTGATATGGAGGGCTACATCCAGATTCAGAAGGAGATGGAAAATACTCAGGGGGAAAAATATGCCTGTACAGACTTGTTTTTCTTATTCTTATTCCCTAAGTAATACAGTATAACAGCTATTCACAAAGCATTCACGTTTATTGTTTTATATGGGTCACCTAGAGATGACAAAGTGTATGGGACAATGTTTGCATTTCATTGCAAATTTTATGCCGTTTTACGGTATGGAACTTGTGCAGGTGTGGATTTTGGTACCAGCAGGGCAGTTCTGGAACTGATATTGAGTAAACCACCCAGTAAATATCCAGATGATCTCTACAGTCTCCTTTGCGGATGGTCCGAAAAGGCAAAGAAGAGTTTTGGACAAAGCGACTACCCACACGGCGCCTATTAAATAATGAGCATCGAGCCGAGCACGGCGATACACGCCCGCAACCCCAACACTCAGCGCTGTGGAAGGATGCTGACGACGACTTGAGGCGGACACCTGAGAGGCTTCCCATTAGGGTGGAGCGAGGCACTGCGATCCCACTCCAGGCCGCAGAGGGCACCGTTCTGCTTTTCTCCAGCAGGAATGGGGCCCGAGCGTCTTTCTGCGCGCGCCTCGCAAGAAACGTCACTGTCGCCTCCGCGCGCACCTAGCTTGAACCAGCCGTCGCCAAGTAGGTAAGAGAAACCTAGGTTTGGTTAGAATCTGAAGCTCACCGCCCGTGGGGTCCTGCCCTCTTTGGATCTTGGGGACACGCGCCACCCCAGATTTCTCAGCGCGACCCCCAACAGTGCCTAGGCAATCCTCTGTCGATCAGCGTCAAGGCCCAGAGCTGCTCTCGTCCCACCACTCCCTCGGCGACCCTTGAGGCACGCCGCCACCCCTGCCAGTCTGACTTTGTGTAGCACCCAGACCCCTCAACGCACGCCCCCGTACTCCCTAAGTGGTCTCTGGGGCTCGGTCTCCCCTCAGAGCACTTGAGCCGGAATGGGCAGAAGTGCCCGGGATGAGGAAGAGGCCTCTCTACCCCACTGGGTGCCTCTTTCGCTCGCTGCACCTTGCAGATTGTAACCATGAAGTTCAACCCTTTCGTGACCGCGGACCGCAGCAAAAATCGCACACGCCACTTCAGTTCCCCCTTTGCACGTGCGCCGAAAGATCGTGTCTCCCCCTCATTCCAAGGACCTGCCGCAGAAGTGCAACGTCCACTCCATGCCCATCCGCAAGGACGATGAGGCCCAGGTATATCCCCATCTTCTTCAGGTTCTAGCTACCCAGTTGTGTGGTGTTCGGCTAGTGCCTTTGTGTGAAAACATCCAGTGCGCGCGGTCCTAGAGGAGTCAGGGACCCTCAGGCCTTGATAACTCGAGCAAGTCGTTTGTCTAACTTTGTGGATGTGCTAGACCAGAGATGGGGCCCAGAGCCACCAGAAAGTGCCCATAGATCTTTAGTAGTAGTAAATAAAATCAGCCAGGGCTCTTTAAACCGATCTAAGCTGCTGCTGTAAAGGCCACTGTGAGAGTAGTGTCCAGTTTAATGGGCTTGGTGCATGGGGCCTTGGGGAGCTGATCATGGAAGATACTAGATTTGGCAGGAAAAATGGGGCAGCAGCGAGTCAGAACCCCTGTATGAACCACTGTAGCCCACCAGTGACAGTGTAAGCCTTCTCTGACTGGAACTTAGGGCTGTGCGAGGGGAAATAATGTTGAGAATGAAAGAAATAACGGTGTAGATTCACTCATGGAAGGAAATGTATTGAGCATTTAGCAGACATTGGTCTAGATACTAGCAGAGAGCAAGTTTGGCCAAAAACCCCTGTTCATGTGGAGCTGACAGTTTACTTTTTGTTATTTTATTTAGACAGGGTCTCGCTAAGCAGTTCAGGCTGGCCTTGAGCTCACTTTGGAGCCCAGGCTGGTCTCGACCTTGCAACGATCCTCCTGCCTCAGCCTCCCAAGTGCTGGGATTACAGGTGTGCTCCACCATGCCTGGCTTGGAGCTCACAGATTAAAGCTGGACTTCTCAACCTCAGTGCTGTTGACATGTTTGACCCTGGTAATTATGGGGAAAACTGCCCTGTGCATCGTAGACTGCTTAGCAGCATCCCTGGCTTCTCTCCACCAGGAGCCAATAGTATTTCTCCTACTTTTGCCACCTTGATGAGCAAAACTATTTGCTCATACTGCCAAATGCTTCCTTGGGAGGACAAAATTGACCCACCTCACCAGCTGAGAAGCATTGTTTTAGGGAATGAAAGGCAATAACGTGAAGGGGTTCTGTGTATCATCTGAGACGTTGGGTTCTTGGAGGGTTGAGTTATATTGAGGATAAGTAAGAAGCAGAAAGTGTAGTTCAGACGTGTGGTTCGTGTTGCAGTCTCTTCTCTCCTGGATCCTTCCCATTATGCATGCTCTAGAATGAGCGACTTGCAAATGCCTATAGGGGAAAAGAAATGAAGTGGGAAGGTAGACTGATGAAATGTCAATCTAGAAAGTCTATGCCTCCTTTAAAGGAAATAGCCATACATCTTCAGTCGGTTGCAGCCTTGGAGAAATGCAGACTCAGTACTGCCAGATTCTTCAATCTGAAAGAGAACTGGAAAATTCAGATTCTTTTTCTGCCCTGCATATTTTTCCAGCTACTACCCTCTTCCCCATTTCTCAAACTTCTCAAGAGTTGTCTAGGGGCCGGGAAGATGGCTCAGTAGAATAAGCGCTTGCCTGGCAAGCACAAGGGCCTGAGTTCAATCCCCAGTTTTGCAAAAAAAAAAATAAAAATAAAAATAAAAATAAATAAATAAATAAATAAATAGAGTTGTCTAGCCTGGGTTGGGGAGCTAGCTCGGCAGCCTAAGCACATGCCAGGCAAGTGCAAG